TCTACTGAGACCAAAATAATTAGACGTTTGTTCTGTCTACCAGTTTGAGATTGATCACACTTAAAGAGACTCATTTGGTACCTATGTTGAGAATTATGAGATCTTAGGTTCAAATTTTAGCGGAGGCAAAAAAAATTAGGGGATTTCCTTATTTGGTACCTTGGGAATTAGTAAGGTACTCACAAATTGACCCTTATACCATGGTATCTCTAGTGATAGATTATAAAAATTTCCTTTGAAGGAATTCTTTCGCGTTTTGGATTTTGTGAGTTGAATAATAATTTTATGATTTGCTGCTACTTGTGTTTTCCCATTTGTTTGGGAATGTAAATGAGATGATAGATGTAACTCAACACAACTACCATTAGTAGTTTGTTGACTCTACTGAGACCTAAATAATTAAATGTGTGTTCACTCTACCAACTTAAGCTTTTAACGTGAGATTGACCAAACTTAAAGAAACTCATTTGGTACCTATGTTGAGTATTATGAGAACTTAGGTTTAGATTTTAGCGAAGGCAAAAAAAAATAAAAATAAGGGATTTCCTTATTTGGTACCTGTGGAATTAGTAAGGTGCTCGCAAATTGGCCCTTATACCATGGTATCTCTAGTTTTAATTTTTATCATTATAATAAAATTCCTTTGAAGGAATGCTTTCGTGTTTTGAATTTTTGTGAGTTGAATAATGATTTATGATTTGCTGCTACTTGTATTTTCCCATTTGTTTTTGGAATGTAAATGAGATGATTGATGTAACTCAACGCGACTACCATTAATAGTTTGTTGATTCTGCCGAGACCTAAATAATTAAATGTGTGTTCTTTCTACCAACTTAAGCTTTTAATGTGAAATTGATCACACTTAAAGAGACTACAAAATGTGAAAGAAGCCTATGCAAGCTGGAATACATGGAGTGTTGATATGTCCATCAAGAAAGTTTGGGTTATGATCCCTGGAGTTATTTTTTGGTGTCTATGGATTGAAAGGAACCACAGATGTTTTGATGGGATCTCAACTCCAAACAACTCTCTTAAAAGCTAGATGTTTACTTATGTTGTTCAGTGGTGTTAATTTAACACTGAACAATTTCTTGACTTTGTTAGCTGTCTAGTACTAGTTTGAAGATTGTAAAGGAGCTAACAACTTTTGCTTATGCTCTCTGTGAACCTTTTGTCTATTCTGTAATTCTGCTTCTGCTTGATGTTTTTAATGACATACCTTCTTAAAAAAAAAAAAGAGACCCAGTTTTAGGTGGCCAGAGTGATTGATTTACTGAGGCAGATTATGACTTTTATCATGAAACTTGGATTACAATGGTGATCATATGGCCTCATTTTTTGAAATTTTATTTTGCTGAGTTTAATGATATTCAATCCATTTATAGATAGTGCCAAGCCTGTGGAAAAGGAGACCATGAGCAATATTCTTGGTTGAATTCCCCAGTGCACTTCCCCGTGACAAAACTAGGGGGGTGCAAGGGGGTTTGCTGAAAATGTAAACTGTATGTACAAGGTCGATATTATTTTGTATGTATACAATAAATGTTGAATCCTATTGGCTTTTTCATGTGTTCACATTTTATATTTTGAATCTCCTTGTTGAAAATCCTTGCTCCGCCATCAACTTCACTCATTATCTAGTCTCTTCCCCTACATGCGAAGAATATAGAAGAAGTGTCATTTAATTCTATTGACAAGAAAATTTTGATTTGTGGTTCAACTTCGTGGGATTTCGTGGGATTTCACTGTGTATGTCGGGACTAAAGCAGACATGTACACTAGTTGCAATATTCATTCCGATTTCTCATAGTGGACTATTGAGAATTTGGTAATTTGTTTCTTCTAATCAATCTTGGAACTTCCACGTCTTCCACACACCAAAGATTTTGCATAAGTTGCCAGTAGCATTTCTTCTGCCAAAGTTCTTGTCTTCTTGTAACTTTAGGCTTTCTTTACTAAATTCATGTGTCTTTTTGGAGGTGTATTGCTAGATAAATTGATTGCCTTGTCTCTAAGGCTTCTCTCTTCACAAGAAGCATAATTTATCTAATATTCCAAAGGACAAGATGATGAAAGGTGAAAATGTGAAATTAAATTTCTCCTTTGTACATTTTTGGCTGTTGAGGGTGTGATACGATATGTGCTTCCATCTTATGCCTGAACTTCCTATGGAGCTCATGAGGGTTGTTTCAGGAGATGAATGACTAATTATTGGCAGATCTATGATTATTTTATTCATCCAGTTTAGTAGTTTCACGCCATGTTGTGCAACTTGGACCTCTTGCTAATTGTTACTCGTGCTTTGTGGCTTAAAATAGAACTGGAAGTTATTTGTATCTTTGTTTTCAAAGGGCTTATAACACACATTGAACTTTGACTGCTTTGGCTCCTCTTATGAAATGATTCCTCATAACAGCTCATTAAAATTTAAAACTTGTTTTTCCTTCAGCCTCTTCTTTCAGCAGGAAATGGAGCTTTCTTTGATAGGGCTGCAGAATGCAGGAAAAACATCACTTGTAAATGTGATTGCTGTAAGTAGATAATTCCTCTATGCTGTTTTTTTCGTATCCTTTTGCTTCTATGTAGTCTGATTGTCTGTGATGACCTAATACTATTTGTTCAATCTGTCATTCTTAGACTGGTGGATACAGTGAAGATATGATACCGACGGTAAGTTTTCATCTTCCTAGCTCTTAGTCGTAATCTAATTCCAGTTTTTACTACATCATTTTGATCTGTGATAATAATACGAATCTATTGGATGTACAGGTGGGATTTAACATGCGGAAAGTGACTAAAGGAAATGTGACTATAAAGTTGTGGGACCTTGGAGGTCAACCCAGATTCCGCAGTATGTGGGAAAGATACTGTCGTGCAGTTTCTGCTATAGTGTATGCTCCTTCTTCAGCTTACTTGATTACATTGTGCAGATGCTACTATTCCTTCCTCATTGTACACTGCTTGTTAGTCAATTTTGAGTGCTTCATCATTATGCATAGTCATAATACTTTTGAAAGTGATGGAAGACAGCACATAGTAGATCAATGGTCTTGTTGTTGTTTGGTTGCATTTAATTTTCACCAACCATGATATGTTTAAGAATAGATGCTAGTTCAAATTACCTGATCAGGCTTTTGACAGATTCATTTCTAAAACACCTTAGGGGTGGTAGAATTCCTTTCTTTTAGCCGTTCTTTTTATTCAAATCATGAAGGAATTCTACTAATGATCCTGGTAGCCATAGTAATATCTTGTTTTTGAGTTCTCTTTCCTTGCAGTTATGTTGTTGATGCTGCTGATCATGACAATGTTAGCATTTCAAGAAGTGAAATCCATGACCTGCTGAGTAAACCATCGTTGAGTGGTATTCCATTGCTGGTATTGGGTAACAAGATTGACAAGCCTGGTGCCCTTTCCAAGCAGGCATTGACTGATCAGATGTAAGCAGATAAAATTGGACTCTCATTGTTGTCTCTCCTCTTCGTAGTTTATGCTATGGTTGATTAGGGGAAGGGGATGGAGTTTACATCTTTCATTTTGGCTAATTGGTCAAAAATTTTGGTGATAGGAAACAAATTCTCTTCCATTTCCTTCTTTCATGATGCCCAACTGCATTACATGTTTTGATTCATTTTTGAATGATTTTGCAGGGACTTGAAATCTATAACAGATAGGGAGGTATGTTGCTATATGATATCGTGCAAAAACTCCACCAATATTGACTCAGTCATTGATTGGCTTGTTAAGCACTCAAAATCAAAGAGTTGAGCCCTTTCTCCAGATCTACAAGTTAAAAGTTGTCAGGCTATACCTTTTGTTGGTTTCTCCAGAGTCCAGAGTTTTCTTGTATGTAAATTGTTTTCTCAATTGAAAGAATTGATACATGTATTATCCCAGCCTGCAAATTGTGTACCAATGTGTTTTTTTGGGGAAGGACAACTTCTTTGATTTATTTGAAGAAACTAATTTATTATAATTTCTCTGTTTTACACCAGTTTGAGTTGTTGACACCAAATTATGACTTATATGAGTGTGTTTGGTACGATCCAAATCTTTTTTGCAATTCTTCGAACTCCAACAATAATGAGTGTTTTCGTGTTTTAGTTGAGTGATATTCTTATCCAAATTTTATGTGACTTTGAATAATTTTGAAATCTTGGCTAAAGCTTAATTGACAATCCATAATGAGGCTACTTGTGAATTTTCCTCTAGTTTGAATTTTTGATCAAGGAGAGTGTCATGCGGTTTCACCTATGTAACTTAAACTTTTAGAACATTATTCTAAGAGTTTCACTTTTATAAGTTTGAATTCTAAAATATTGTGTTGAAGTTTCAACTCGTACACTAATGGTCCATTTGGATATGTGATATGATGTTCCGATTTGAAATCAGATTGATTTGATTTTGAAGTTTTGTTTGGAAATGCAATTTGAATTTTTCAACTATATTTTTCTCGTAAACATGAAAATCTGCTAGTTGTTAGGACGATAAAAATTTCTCCAATTCTTTATACAATCTTACCAAATCAGCAAACCATAATTCATAAACAGGATATCGAAATATCCTAAGGCACCTCAAACAACATATCTCAAAGATATACTAATCAACAATGGTAACAAGTAACAACTAATTATTATCCTTTCACATGGTACAAAAAGCCTCTTCACATCGATCACAAGTCTTATTTGCAAAATTTAAAATGATGGGTTATTTTTCTTTTTACAAAATACAAACTATGAGTCAAGTTTTACATTATAATTTTTTTTTTTAAAAAAGCATGAAAGCCAAGAAACTTTGAATATTCTTCCATGTTTATATATACATGTGATACTGCAAGGTTTGGCATAGATCCCTACCACGTGTATTATGGTTCGATCCTATTCGGAGGGACAGGAAAAAATATCACTATAGACACTAACAAGACCCTAGCTAAAATACAAAGAAGCTCCTCTTCTTATGTCACAAAAAGAGTCTTTGTAATGGAAAACTGAAGATTTATGGAGCACAAGAAGGAACCTTCGCTCCAGCTTTTCTTAACTCAACATAAACTCTAAAAATTTGACCCATAAAGGTTAAAGACAGATGAATGTTAGCAACCAAATCAAGCATAGGCTACATTATAAAGCAGACAATGTAACATTCCTGAAATTTTACAGGCGCATATTTTTTCTATGATTACACTTAATGGACACATATTAACAAGGATTGCCCATTTAATCCAAGCTTATTGCAGAGCCACTACAGAGACCAGCAGAAACCTCTTTTTTGTTCTTATGAAAAGGGGTTGTCAAAGCGTATACCACTTCTATCAGGTAACAGCTTCTTCATGTAATACTTCGACCTACGAGATAGATTGATCTTTTTCCTTTTTTGAGCTGGTATGCAGTCGATGGAACATTCAGAAAAACCGCGCCTCACAAACCTGTGAAGGAGAGAAATGTATACATGAACATCAAATCAACAAACCATCTGTTAATGATATTTTTCTTGTTCAAGGACAAAATCCAGTCTCAACTTTGAACATTATATGAATGAAACTATGACAAAAATGTTTGATTGTGAGGTTTCTTGCATATATCAAGGAGTGGATATATTAAGGATTTGGAATTGTAGAACAGTTTAGAGAATCAGAGGAGTGGTTTTCACTTGTATAAGCTAGATAAAGTCAACAAAATCCAGCCAATGTGCACATATTGAATAAAGATGGACAAACACACGAACTTCATTATTTAGTTAAGTATACGTAAGCACATTGTGCTATTCTATCTGTTCTTTAAAGCAAATGCAGAACTCGTATATCGAAATTATAGTAAAGCATCTGAATACTCTTGCGGGTCAGTTTTTTCTTAAGAGCAAATGTTAGATTTATTAGAGCTCCATTTTGAGTTTAACAAAGTAAAACACATGAACTTCATTATTTAATAAAGTACAAGTAAGCACATTGTGCTACTCTGTCTGTGCTTTAAAGCAAATGCATAACTCATATACCGAAATTATAATAAAGCATCTGAATACTTTTTGCAGGACAGCTTCTTTTATTGAGTTGGTTAAATAGGATCAACATCCATCGTATCAAAGAGCTTATACTTTTAAATTATATTTTATAACTCAAACACATTGTTTAATAATATTTATGCGATTTTTAAAATTTTATACTCATTGATGATATTTACACGCGTAACACGCATACCCAAAAAACAAGTAGTAGTAATACTAATAATAAGAGTCAACCAAGAGGAACTCTTTTCTTTTTTCCCTTCATGATTTTCTGTACCTTGACATAGCATCTTAGCTTTATCTCCCTGTTGAAATGACTTAAAGACTTGTATTCTCAAATTCAGTATAAATATTGCAACAAATTTAATGACACTCAGTTATCTGCCATTGTCCATTGCACTTTAGTTCGGCAATCAATGTTCGTTCGCCAATTGGAAGAACAATGTATATATTGGCCAGGGAGCAGGAAAGTGGAAAGAACGTACCAATCAGCTGTGCGAGTTGTAAGCAGAAACAACATTTGCAATCCAAGGGAGGATGCCTTCTTCTCAATGTAATCTGCAATTTTTTTTGGAATAGAAAGTTATTGGCTATTGCAATAATAAGTGCAGAATTTTAATCAGACCAAAATGTTCAAGGACACCAACAGCGTTTAGGTAGATAGAAGAGAAGTAAACACATAACAGTTTGATACGATCCTGGATAGACAGATACTACACAGCCTATTGTGAACAATTCCGAGATGTTTAGTGGACCGTTGACTCGTGTCAAGACCAAGGCGTTCAAGGAATACCTCCTTTGGAGCTTGGCAATTGTTACAAACAAGCTGAAGAGAACATTGTTGCAAAATACAAGTCAATACGTTGCATTTGTTACCCAAGTAACATCTAATTGTCAAGTTTTGGGTTGAGGGTATTCCAAATCTGTGATCTTTGTTTTGTAAGTATTACTGGACTACTCCTGGAGTATTCCTCTATTGATAATACAAGTTACCTTTCTCAAAAAAAATCAATGATCTAGAATCACAACTTTGGCTTGGACTTATTCCTATAAACCCTCATGTCTTAGTTCCTGTTTATTAATAAAAAAGTAAAAAAGACTGTTGTTTTCATTGTTGTTATTGTTTAGATTCAGGAAGAATTATTAGGAAAAAAAAAACAGGAGGAAAGAATCTTCTTTGATTCTTGACTAGACAAAATCTTCCATTGGTGGGCAAAAATTTGGATTCTGGTTGAGAACAATCTAGTGCTAGTTCGCAGTAAAATGTTCATAATATTGAACTCCAGTATTTACTTTGTGCTTTCTCATTTATTTCGTTGATTTTAATCTGTTAGCTTTTATCATCCCTTACTCTTCCCATCAATTCCATTCTAGAAAATTACCTCAAGGAATCCAGCAAATGTTAATGATTTCAGTGAGTTGATTTCAAACTATGGATTTTCATAGAACGGAAAAGGGCTAGACTGTGTCAGATTATTAGAGCGAGTAGAAGTTGTATTTTTTTTTATGACAAGGGAAACCCGCAGCCGCTACCCTTTGGGTGCGCACAAGGTAAAACCCCCGCTCCTATGCAATAGCTCGCAAACCACATATGAGAGGTAACCCGCACTAGGCAAGCCTGGTGCGACGAGCTCGACCCAGAAGGCAAACCCCTTGCTTTCGCTGGCAAGGGGTTTTGAACTTGAGACCTCCAACATGGAAGTCCCAAGCTCAAACCACTGGGCCACCCCGAAGGGTTTAGAAGTTGTATTGAGAGAAACACAAGAGTTGACGGACATCTTTGAGGGAAAACACATAAGGGTGTAGGTGAGGAGTTCTATATCTAATTGTTTGCTTTCGAGATTTCTTCCACACATACAAGGAAATTTGGAGTAATGGATAATCACAAGGGGGAATACTAAATGATCACATTCCATTGGTATATACGGTATGTATAATTGGCTCATTTTAATGCTTGGGCTTCATAAAAAATCTTAAGGTATTATTGGAGGTACTGAACTAATTCTTACAACTTATGTTGGTGGCATTGTTATCAATTATGATGATGTTCTGATATATAACCCGTCATTGATGGTAGGTCTAGATTCATCATGTCTTTATTTTATGCTTTGCTCTGTTTGCTAATCCAAGTTATTAAAGGCTTCAGGAAATATCGTAAACTTAAGATTGTTCCTTTGTTAACGTGTTTGTAACTTCATAGGACAAACACAAATAATCACAACATCCTGAAACTGCTTACATGCATTATTTATCAAAAGAGTAATTAGTTTACTATGAGAAAGAGTTACCAAGTAATTTGTCTCCTTGTCCTTGGCCACGACAATCAGGAGAAACGGCAATAGCAGCAACCTCTCCACATTTTTCTTCAAAGTAAGGAAAGAGAGCAGCACAAGCTATAATGTGGCCTTCTCTCTCCACAACAATGAATGAATGCAGTGCCTCCACCAGCTAGAACAAGTAAACAACACATAATTATGAAAAAAGAAAAATGATATACAAACATTACCCAAATAGAAGCTGACTTAGTAACTATTTTCGCATAATAAAAAGCATCAAGATTAACCTCTTCCTCGCTCCTTCTGATCAATGTTCCAGACTCTTCTAGAGGTTGTAATAATTGTTTGATCTCGGGAATATCCGACAGCCTAGCCATTCGTGTTCCTTCGTAAAGATCACTGAGAAAGAGAGATTCATGCACATCTTAGACGAAAGATAGTCATAAAAAGGATTGCAAATATCTATTAGCCATGTCCTAACATAATTATACGACTGAGAGTACAACTTCTAATTCTAGAGACAGGGAAACCATGAACTTTTGTGGTGAGAAACATAATGTCATATAGGGAGTGGATAAGACAACCAGAGACATGCAGATTCTCACTGCTCGTGGAGTTCTGTATATCAATATTGTAAAAGGAAGGCTAAGTTTATTTTGGCAATGTAAGTAGCTGGTTAAACATCTCAGGAAATTCTGGATATTACTTCTAATAGTCATATACCAAATTGTGTCCAAGGGGATTGAATCTTTTAAGTTGCACCATGGATTTCTCCGCAAAGAAATAAAATGTCAAATTTGGATAGTAATAATAGTACAGTAATTTCCTGCTGTTCATTTCCACATTTGGTGGTGTTTTAACCATGATGGTGAAAGGTGACTCACATTAGCCCAGTTTGTTACTCTTAACCTACTGAGCTCGTTTATTGTAGATTATATTTTTGTCTTCTCATTCATGACTTGCTTTGAAAGTGAACTATTTGTACCATGGATTTGATGGTTCGAAAACACAAGGATAAGTGAATATCATTGATCAACTTAAAGAGGAAATGATGTAAATGTGGAAAAGTGAATATCAACATGTCTTGACTAAATTACAATCAATATTTCATCAAGATTTGCATACCTAGCTACCATTGTCCCAACTCCATCTCTTTGGAATAATTCCTTTAGTAAAACTCCACCAATAGTACCATCCAGCAGGTGAACTCTTTGAACACCTCCCTGATGGCAAATGGAGTACAGAATTGGCAAAACTTTTAACCAATAAGCCAATAGAGATATCATATTGATAAATGAGGAGTCAATTTAGTAGAGACATGAAAATTTCATCAGATGATAGATCACTGTGAAAGTTGATAGTTGCTACACACAGCAAACCATATATAGCCATAATATGTAGTGAGAACATGAAACTAGTTGACTATTCTGTAAACATACATATCTCTAATGCACAAGCTATTATAAAAGAAGTTTTAACAGCAAAGAGCGATAACTTCCAAAATCTACCCCTTTAGTCATCAAGGGTCAAGTTTAGAGAAAATGCAATTTTCTGTTGTATATTTAGGGTTATTTATTGTCTAGTTTAGACACTTCTGAAAATCTGCAGATATAGTGATTAGACAGCCAGGATCTTACTCTGCACACAAAAGCAGCTGCAGCTAACTCTGAAAGATAACCATTTAGTCGACTTAACCTCTCTTGTCCTCCAATGGCAAAACCCTGCTCACTAGACCAAAGCCCATTCCCATTGTCAAAACCAACACCATTCTGAAAAACACTGTATTTTTGGCTAAACCCATTCATATTGTAGGAAGAGATTGATCCATTAGAACCATTGTGATCTAAACGATTGAAGTCCTCTTGACTGACAGCTTTTACATAATTAGCTGCTGCCTCACTTTGTTCTGCTCGTTTGCGAACCAGCATGTCAGCAGCTTGAAGAGTCAAGAAACGAATAAGACGGCCAGACTCATCCAGAATTGGACCATCTATAATACAAATCAGTTTCTCTGCTCCTAGAGCCAAGGCACAAGCTGTAGCAACTTCATATGTGCTTCAATAAAATAAAAAACATTATCAATCTTAAAACTCAAGGCAAAATAAAGACGAAAAGAAAAAACATATCCACAAAACACTGACTCATGACTGAAGAGTCGGGAATGTTGTGTGCTGAGCATCTAGCTTAATCAATCAGAAAATGGTTATAGAAAAACGAAAAACATGTTACACATTAGGAATTGTAAAATGAATTAACTCAACATGGGATCATGAAACAGATGACCACTGTGTAATACAAGTTGAGTTCCCAAGATAGTAGATTGATTTAAAAGATAAGCATTCACACCAAGGGCTGTGACACACTTAACATATTCACAAAAAGCTGACTCACAATGGTAGTTTCAGAAAAATGTGGTGTACTGAGCATCTAGCCTAATTAATTAGATATAGTTTTGTACAACAACATAACCAGTGTAATCCTACAAGTGGGGTCTGGGGAGGGTGCAGTTACGCAGCCTTGCCCCTACCTTTTGAAAGTAGAAATAGTTTTGTAAAAACATGAAAAACTAGTACACATGAAAAAATGAAGTAATCTCCGCAAACACATGACCACTGTTTAAAACAAGCTAAGTTCCCAAGAAAAGCAGATTGATATAAAAAAAATAGCATTCCCGCAGAGGGCACTGACACACATAAAATCGTGAAATTATTGGCTTCTACCCATGGTGAGGGATAAAGATATGTTCAAAGTTCGATGTTAAGCTAACTTCAACTCCACAAGTCCATCTATATCACCCCTCCAATAGATGGGAGTCATAATGTCGCATATATGTGTGTGTGTGTCTGCACGAGCACAATATTTTTTATTAGTACTATCTTGTAACGAAAGAAGAGCAGAGAAAGTTATTGGTGTACTTCCTTATCACTCTGTTGAGAGTGTTTGAATTGTATCTAAAACTATATGAATCGTGAAGAAACTAATTGATAGGTAATGTTACTATAAGAAACCACCCAAGTTGAGTGTAACCTATTCAATCGAGTAAACATAAACCCAAAATGTGACCAAAATGAGATCAACCTGAAGTAATATTTCTTTTACAATTGTTAATTTTACACTTCTTCTGATAATAGTTGGCATGCACCCTAGGCATAAATGACATTCTTGCTAGTTATTTCCCCCTTTTTCGTGTTAAGATTTCACTAGAAGACTTCCTTTTGATTGACTTCTGGGTTTTGATCCTATCACTGAAATTTAAGTACTGCAATCTTCCAAGTGCACGAGTTTTCACAAAAAAAAAAAAGATGAAGAAGAATAAGCAGGCGAAGAAGAAGAGAGAAGGAGCATTTTATGCCTGTCAAGCAGTTAAAGAAAGAAAGGAGAATGTCCCATAAGTTAAAGGAAACTTGAAAATGGAAGCTTACCAGTTTAATTAAAAGAGAGGGTAGAACCGGAAAATTGATCACTACTAAGCTGAAGTCTTATGTATCACTATGCTCTAGTATATAGCTTCCTGAAATTCTGTTTATTCATTGATTTTAACGATTTGCGTAGAACAAGATGCAGGACTAATGATGCATAACATCAACAAAGATACCTATCAAAAGCCATAAAGCATACTTGCAGTTCAAAACTTCTCCGGAGCTGGAATATCCAAGATTGCTTAATAACACAATGCTATCCTGATCAAGTCTCTCACGAATGCGAGAAACGTCTATCTTCTTTACTTCTCCAGTCGCTGCATAATCAATTCCTTCTACAACTCCTCTTCTCTGACGGAATTTATAATGAAAATCCCAAGTCAACCTCATTGTCATTGAAATGACATTTGATGCAAAAAATTTAAAACCCAAAAAGAATGAAAATACATTTCATAATATTTACATTGTGCAATGACGTTATACTCTCACCTTCATTGCTAGAAAATTACCACTAGCAACACTAACACCATCATGCCAGCGACTATTTTCTCCATGCCGGCGGACACCAGTCAATGATGGCCCAGGAGACAACTTTGCCTCTATCATAAGACGAATTCTCCCAGCTGCATCCATTGCAGCCATCAGTGAATCAGGGTCTGTTACTCTGTAGCGGCCTACATACTTGGGCTCACTTCCTGTAAGAAAGAGTTTTCAAATCACTTGCTTCTGAGAATATTCTTCTTAAGATAGAGAAAAAATTGTAGTTTAGAGAAAAGAAAAATAATATAATGGTGCTAATTAAAAAGGAAAAAGTAGAGGACTTTGAATAGTAAAGACTGTTAAAACTCCTTTGCATGCAAATTTTGGTTACTTTAAAATGCATAACTATCAAGGCCATTAATGCTATTGATTCCTCTTTCTATGAATGAAAATGGATGCCGAAGCTTTGGGTTTCTCCAAGTTAATTTTAGCAATCTTTGGAAATGTATTACAGTCAATATAATAGGAAAAAGGATCTTGCATCTAAACTATTTACTAGGTTATGAGCTCCAACTCATCATTAGCAGGTTGATCAAGCTTTAACCTGAAGTCTTCACTGTTTAAAGCAGACCCAAGCAATTTTCGAGCGAAATTAGAGGCAGAATACCTTTTAGACTTTACTGAATCTTTATTAGCTTAATATCTTCTGAGTTTGTGAGTAAAACATGTCTAGATTGTTTCTGTTCATCTGATAGGTAGGACGATCCATGTACCAACGCAGGGACACTTTCTAGACGATGATAACATCAAGACGAGGAAAATTAACATTTTAATTAAGACAAAGTCATCAAAACTCCGTCTGAGATAACTAATTAATTGATTAACTCTGTATCAATCACAAACTAGCCAACACCAGCTATATGAATCAACTGAATTCACATTCAGCTCCATTTCACTCCAATACTAAGTACTCCAGAGTGTTTTTTATAATTACATTATGAGTTCACTAAATCTCACAGAACATGGACATACAAGTCTTTCACTAAAGTACGAAGACTCCTGGTAAATACCAACCTACTGCAAGTGGTGCCTAAGCTGAAATTTCTTGTCTATCATTAAGAATAATAAAATTAAGAGAAAATAACAATTATTTGCTATCAGCATCAGAATAGTGAAGAAAACACACGTAGCGGCCTGAAACTAGCACTATAAAACTGAACAAGAAAAGAAAACAACAACATTTTGCTGACCTCTTTCAGCCAGAAACCTATCAATTTGGACATGAGTTCCAGGTACAAGAACAAACTTGATTCCCAGGCCATGAAGGAGCGAGATATCCTGCAAAGTTTGTGTGTAAATCAAACCGTCATGCATTACTAAAAGTGGGATAAATCAACAAACTAATGAACTTACAATAACCAAAAATCAATCAATTACTACTCAATCCCAAACTAACCCAATTCAACTATGTGAATCTTCTATATCCATTTCACTTCATTTCAAACCCATTAAGAATCTTAAATTTTTGTTCAGTTAAAGTTCTTTTAAAATTTAAAACTTCTCTAAATCACACATTAAGCAGCAGAGTTGAAAAAATCTCCAACCAAATCTTATTTTAAAAAATCCAAACTCGGAATTCCACTACTAGAAAAGGAAAAAAAAAATAACACATTGAGCTTACGTTTGGCCATAGATCTTGGCAGTAGTTTCTGAAAATTTATCTTCAAATATCTATTTGGCCATGAAATCTGATCTTCAAACATTTTCAAGTTCCCAAAAACTCGCAGTTTGGAAGAAATTTCACTTTCAATCACAAAACTTCATAAAAAATTCAATTAAAATGCATGTTCAAACAAAACTAATCACAACTTCGTAAACTCAAATTTTCAAGTTTTAGCTTCAAAATCTATGGCCAAACGGGAGGTGAATATCCTGAGTAGAAAGACAAAGTTAAAATAGGAACATGCCATGAGAAGATGATCCAAATGAGGACTATCTACAATTTCAGCTGAGATTAAAACAACGAAAGTGCTTCCTCTATGCGCAAGAAAATAAGGCCAAGCTTCTCGAAAAAACCCAACGAATAAGTCATCTTTTATTGCACTGCTCACGTCGGAAATACTAGCTGCACTTTCCGTTTCCCCATAAACACCGCACCTAATTGACAATCTCTTCGAAAAATTAACCCTTAATGATAACAGCTTTCGCCTCCCTTGGAAACTATTTCCAACTGGAGTTGTCCAAACATCAGTGCGAGCGAAAATTGGTAGCTTACATTGTTTAATAACTGGAGCACAAGGCCTTGCCGGCGAAGATGACATTGGAAATTTATGGGGAGTTGGTGGAGTCAGAGTCGGAGTCGGAGAATTTTGAAGAAGAAATGTTCGCCGGAAACGGGAATGGACATGAACCGGTAGTGCTACTGTCGACCCGGTCTGTCCGGCTCGACCGGTCTTCTTATTTAGGTAAGATATTGATTGGTGACTCTCAAAGTCTCAACCATGGTCCATGAATGTTATTATTATGTTATATTATATTATTTTATTTTATTTTATTTTATTTTATTGGATAATGGATACTTAACATATAGTAGTATTTAGAATAAATTATTAAATTATTTTATTTTTTATTGTTATATAATATTACACATAAATTATAGGACATGAGTAAAGCTACTATTAAAAAAAGACAAAGTAAAATTAAATATTAAATAATAAATAAAATAAATATTAAGATAATAATGTGATCATATCAAACTGATTGTTATACGTGACTTTTCATCATCCTAACAATAAATATGAATCATATGATAAAATAAAATTTAATTAACAATTAAAGTAAACATAATATTTAACCTAACAATACAATATAATATACAATAAATAGCATCATCAAAACAAAACAAAATATTTAAATTAATTTAATTATTAATTCATCGTAATTAAACAATTTATAACTATTACCGTACTTATAAAATGTTTTGACCACAAACTTTTACAATTGATTTTTCCTGAAGTCCATTTCCAACAAAAGGCAATCATTAATTAGTCAAGGTAAAAACAATTTGTCGTTTCACTTTTCATGATCTTTTTTATTTTAGTTTTAAAATAATATATTTTTATATCTAAAGAATTCTTATTTTTTTGTTTTTACCTTTTTAATGCTTTAAATACGACCTTTCTACTTTTATAATTCAGCAAACTTCCTCGTAAATGGCCAAGTTTAATTTATTGCAATCGACTATTTATAGCTCCTACAAGTTACAATAATCTTATTTTTGCGTTCACACCGACAATAGTTTTACACGTAAACCACATGCACCCGGCACATATATTTGATATATCTTTTAAAAAATATTAATGACTTTTCAATAATATATTTGATATATTTTTAATTTATGATTATAATATTCAAAAGTCTTATTTATCAAAAAAAAAGACAAACAAATTAAAACTAATTAAATAGAATTATTAAATTCAGGTCAATCAAAGTTCAAACCTATAAGTCCTCCATTTATTACAACACATAAGACTCATTAAAGATCTATAGTACGTCAGTATTTTTTTTTAAATGCTCGAACTTGAGACAAAATAGAAGAATTTTATTCATCTCATTTTGATAATAACATTCACGTTTTTAACATCAAACAACTCTGAATTTATTATTTACAAAAATATAGTGTAAATATACGTCTAAACTAACTATGTTTAATTTCATTCTTTTATCAATTTGATATTCAAAAACATACTGATTCGATTAATTTAAACTATAAACACACATACCTTGATTATGGAAGACAAATAAGGGCTATCAATAATCTCAGCTGACAGAAGAACAACAAATGTTCGATCCCTATGCGCAAGAAAATAAGGCTGAGCTTCCCTCATCATCCTCACAAATTCGTCTCCTTCGTCATTATCAGTTTGAGTCGTTGAATCAGTCACTGATGCTATCGAACTATAAAAGTAATCAGTATCACTCATAGTAATCGTTCTACCATTTTCAACACCGCTGCAGCAATTCAAACAAATCCCCTGTTTCTCATCATCTCTTCGAATTCTCAAAAATCCACTTCCTCCTTCTCCACGAGTACCAAAATCGAACTTTTTCCCCATTCCCAAATTCCAACCACGATTCAATTTCAACATCGCCATGAAACAATTGAGAAAATCAACTAATTTATTACACTAAACAACTTTTTTATTGTAGTGCTATAAACACAAAGGCAGATAGGATATTAAACAGTAGAAGTAAAGAGAAGACAACTTAATTGACAAATCTTCACAACGTGTTTATGTTTCCTAATGGCACTTAGTTCCATAGCTTCAAAACACTTAATAGATCAGTAATTGAAATTAAAATGAGAGATTATTGAGTAGATATAGAGATTAAATGAATGATTTTAGAAGTAGAGAATTAATTGCATTGGCCTAATTTTGTGGTGGTTGAGTCATGGATGGGGAGAGGAATAGTATAAACAGAAAGGGGAAAAAGAAATGTGGGTGGCCTTTGGTGAGAGTTTTTCAAGAATCATTTCAAGACAAAATTAATTTCTTTTATTAGGTTATATATGTATAAAAAAAATGTTTTGTCCACTCATGAGGTTGTTGGAATTAATGGTGTGTTTGGTACTCAAGGAAAATAGAAATAAGTGGAATTTTTATATATTTTTTAGTGTTTGGTAAGTAAGAAAAAAATATTTCTTTTGTCCAACAATAGTTGTCCACCAATGACTTGGCAGTTGGTACACCCCTTAAAAAACTATAAAAGGGTAATTTTACTATATCACCCTTTGAATATAATAAATACAATATCTTGAAAAATATAATAGAGAAATGACTATAATTAATGATAGGGGTAAATTAGAAATTAAGAGTGTGTTTGGTATGAAGGAAAATGTTTTCCAATTTTCTCATGTTTGGTTGGGTTAAGGGTGTGTTTGGTATGAAGGAAATCATTTTTCGGAAAATGTTTTCTAATTTTCTCATGTTTGGTTGGGCTAAATGTTTTGGAAAATACTTTCCAAATCAACTCATTTTCCTCAAATTTAAGGAAAATGACTTCCCTTCAAAACTTAAGAAAAACATTTTCCAAAACTCTCTTCGAACTTCATATTACAATTATTTTTTTGTTGAAAAAATTAATTTATTTTGTCCCTACCCTCAAACCACCTCCCCCCCCCCTCCCCCCCAAAAATAAATAAATTTTAAAGCTTGTTTTTAAATTTAATTTTTTTACCCCACCCTCACCCCTACCCCCACCCCCTCCCAAAAAAATATTAAAAATTGTTTTAAAAAGATATTTCTAATTTCAATTTTTTATTTTTTTACCCCCACTACCCACTACCCTCGCCCCACATCAACCCCCCTATCAGCCCCCCAACCCCCTTCAAAAAGAAAAAAATTTAAGTTTGTTTTTAAAAAATATTTTCAACTTCAAATTTTTATTTTTTCATCCCGATCCTCGATCACCCACCCCCCTCTCCGGTCACCCCCCCCACCCCCCGCCAAAAAAAAAACTGAGTTTATTTTTAAAAAATATTTACATATTCAAAATTTCATTTTTTTCACCCTACCCTCGACCCCCCACCACCTCCTACCCAGCCCCCCACCCACCCCTACCCCCCTCCCCCAAAAAAAAAATTTAAGTTTGTTTTTAAAAAAATATTTTCAACTTCAAAATTTCATTTTATCACCCTACCCTTGACCCCCCACCCACCCACCTCCTACCCAGCCCCCCCACCCCCTACAAAAAATAATTAAGTTTATTTTTAAAAAATGTTTTCAATTTCAAAATTTCATATTTTCACCCCTAGAACTCCACCCACCCACCCCTACCAGCCCCCCACTCCCCTCCCCAAAAAAATAAAAATAAATTTCAAGTTTGTTTTTAAAAAATATTCAATTTCAAAATTTCATTTTTTCACCCCTACCCTCGACCCCCACCCACCCCCCTACCAGCCCCCCACCACCACCCCCAAAAAATAATTTTAAGTTTGTCTTTCAAAAATATTTTCAATTTCAAAATTTCATTTTTTTTCACCCCTACCCAATCCCCCCACACCCCACCCAACCCCTACCAGCACCCCCCCCCCACGCCCAAAAAAAAATTAATTTTGTTTTTCAAATATATTTTAAACTTCAAAATTATTTTTTTTCACCCCAACCCTCGACCCCCCTATCAGCCCCCCACCCACCCCCTACCAGACCCCCAAAAAAATCTTTTCCGAAAAATATATTTTACTCACCAACCAAACATGAGAAAATAAGTTAAAAATCAACTTGTTTTCCAGGAAAACATTTTCCTTCATACCAAACACACCCTAAATGTTTTGGAAAATGTTTTCCAAATCAACTCATTTTCCTCAAATTTAAGGAAAATGACTTCCCTTCAAAACTTAAGGAAAACATTTTCCAAAACTCTCTTCCAACTTCCAATTAATTTTTTTTTTTTGAAAAAATCAATTTATTTGGTCCCTACCCTCAAACCAGCCCCCCCCCCCCCCAACCACCCCCCAAAAAAATAAATTTAAAGTTTGTTTTTAAATTCAATATTTTTACCCCACCCTCACCCCTACCCCCACCCCCAAAAAAAATTAAGTTTGTTTTTAAAAAATATTTTCAATTTCAACAATTATTTTCTACTCTAGTAAAAATAAAAGAAATTTTTCAAAAACATTTTTCATTCATAAATCAAACACTAAAAATATTTTTCGGAAAATATTTTCTACTCACCAACCAAACATGAGAAAATAAGTCAAAAATCAACTTGTTTTCCAAGAAAACATTTTCTAGGAAAACATTTTCCTTCATACCAAACACACCCTAAGTGTAAAATTATCCATGGATTTCATAAAGTGAATAAGTATTGTTGGACATCTATTTTTAGTATAGTGGATAAGTATTGTTGGACGAATGAAATATGATTTTAAGTGTATTTATATGTAAGTCGAATTAATATTTTAACTTTATGGATTCTAGAGAGTACGTAATGGCAGAAGCAAAATTAAGATTTTAACTTTATGGGGATTTTGAAATTTAGGATGTCGTCTTGAGGTGCTAATAACTGAGTCTTAAGATATGGACATATTTATTGAATTTCTTATTATTTGAACAAAAGATACTTGGTTTTGCTTCTACCTCCATCCAGACAGTGGGATGGTCGGGTGGGGATGGGGTGGGTGGAGGGGGAGTGTGGGTACGTGAAGAGAAAACAATTAAGTAAAATATTACTTAAAAGTAACTTTTTTGACCTATTTTCATTAAGAAAATCATTTTCTCATTTGTAAGGAATTTATTTAATTTTCCGAGAAAAATATTTTTAATGATCAATCAAACATGAAAAATTAAAATACATTTTGCAGAAAATCTTTTCTCCGTACTATAGTTGTTTGGTTCACATTTAAAATATCCCATAAATGTAATCTTGATATTAAAATCAGGATTACCAACAACCATAATAATTTATCCTAAAATACTTTTTTTCATAATTTTGTGTACAATTAAATTACATTACAATAAAACATCTATAAATTAATACTCGGTCAATTAATAATCTCTCTAAAGTAATATTTTCCTCCGGTTTCGATTTGGGCCAATGGAAAAAATCACCAATTTTGATAAGATAATATATTTCCAGAAGACCCCTATATAAATATATGGTCCCATTAATATCATAAATTAATAATTCTTTAAAAGTACAAATATATCTAAGACAATTTAGTCAGAGGCGTATCCAAGGAGGGGTCACCGGGTTCACGTGAACCCATGGTCCCCTCCCGAGATCATATATAGTAGTGTTATATATTTGAAAATATTGAAATATAGATATGTGAACCCACACTCGGGTATCTATAATGCGATGATGACTGGGTGCACCTCTTTACGTGAGGTTAGAAATTTGAATTTTATATTCATCTTGTTTTATTTTTCTTTCTAAAATTAGATAACACCTCTCTAAATGGTTATTGGTAACACTTTTGACATTTTAATTAATTTTGGACCTATAATATTAATTTTAACGGTTTTCAGTAATAAGAACCTAAATGTCCAATCGATCAAATTTATATCTTAGATCAACCTTTTTGTAATTATGCACCCATCATCTCGAAATCTTGGATACGCCTCTGATTATTTAGTGAAATATGATTCTATTGTATTATGTTTTTTCTTAAAATTAAAATCTAGTTGAAGCTCATCTCTAACTTTTCTTATTGCATCCAAGAGCTCTGGTGTTGTCCTTTCGAATTACACCATAAAATTGTGAAGAGTTCTAGATGTGATAAGATTTTCTTACACGTAACTGGTTCCAAAGGTATAATATCATCTTCAACTTCATCATCAACATTGCTTCCACAATTTCTTCTAAGCTCTGGACCTCTAAACATGTATCACTCTCACCCGGATAATCCAACATGCTATTGACATCAATTTTATTGTGGTAACCGAGATTATTAATCATGACCTCAAGTTTATGAATGACATTTTCATAAGTGGGTTCATTCAAATTCTCTAAAATTGCATTCCCCAACGAATTTTATAGTGTCAAAAATAATTTGCTATTGTCTCTTGCTGAACATTTGTTGTCCAAGCAAGGATTGCAAAATTGATAGCATTCAAAACATTAATCTTTGCTGGATCATTTGTCCCATTTCATAACCTTCTAATATCCTACGATAAAATTTGTTGTGATAATACATCTTAAAAGTTCTTATTATCCAAGCATCACAAGGTTGAATTTTGGATGTCATGTTGGGTGGCAAGAAAAACAATTCAACATTTTGTAGTCCTTCAATATTTCTATTATGGGTTGGACAATTATCTACCATAAGCAAAACTCGTCTACCATGCATTTTGTCATCAAACCAACGAATATATTCATCAAAAAACACACTTGTCATCCATGCTCTTTTGTTTGCACGATAGTGACAATTCAATAAATATGATACATAAATTAGTAAGATACAATGATTTTGATGTATTCGTTGTACCTTATATATAATGTTTTTTTATGTGAAATCAATAAATATGATACATAAATTAGTAAGATACAATAATTTTGATATAATTAAAATTAACCTTCATTAAATCTCAAATCATTCTTTAAATTAATAAATATTAATTTATCGATTAAATAATATCTCTATAAAATAATAAAATTCCATGATCCCACTTATAT